AAAACAATACACAACTAGTTATGCCCAGTACTAGGCTCTAAATTTAAAGAAAACACATGTATGGAAACTTAAGAGGGGGCCTCTTTGGTAATTTTGAAAAACAACTGGGAACACTATGCTAGGATGGTTGAAAGTAAAATACACACAAAGAAGCTTCTAGAAATTTGAGCCCCTGCATCTGACTGCTGAAGCATTCCTCCATTTCTAATGGAGATTTTTTTTTTCCCACATCCCTCACAGATTATTTTTGACTTAGCCAAGCAGGGAGCCTATTTTAAAGCTCCCAATTTGAAAATCATGGAAGCTTTATAAAGTACTCCACCTGCATCTCTTTTTGGGGACACAATCCTTTATTCTCTAAAGGATGAAAACCTCCAGCATATAAAAACTTTGTTAAGCTGTCACTATCAATAGGGAAAAAAAAAATAACAGTTGACAAAGAAGAAACAAATTGCATCTTCGAATAAGTTTTCTTGAAGCTCTTGTTAAAAGCTATAACCTCTGATGTTAACTAAATTTAACCCATTCTCACCCTCGTGGTGGCCCTTAACCTCTTCTTTCTTCTGCTTCCTGTGGGTGCTGGAGAAAACGGGCCCAGCCCTTGGAAAAGCGTTCTCTGTAGGACACAAAAGGCCCAGCCTTCCTGCTACCCTGCCAGGAGGCCCCCGATCGACCGAGGGGTCAGCACCTGTGCAGAGAGGCAGGTGACAGTGGACTGCCTGCAACCTTCCCCAGCAAGTTGTAAGAGTGTCTACCCTTCAGCCACCACGCCGCAGTTTCAAGCATTGAAGCCACTGCAGTTCAGGTTTTCTTTGCGAACACAGACTTTACACAAATTAATCTATTGCTGTTCAACTGACTGTAAAATTAATAGATTTACTGTTGCAAAAAAAAAAAAAGAAAGAAAGAAAGAAGAAAAACTGAGAGCTTTCACTTCCACTTTGGTAAGGTCACAGATGCATCCTAAGCTGCCAACAAAACAGCCTTGAAAATCTTGGCCTCAGAACCAAGCAACTTTCAGGGAGGGGGCCTGAAGCAGCCAAACAATGACTGAGCCGTACAGTGGGAAGTCTTCCCAATACAGTAAATATGTAAAAGGCGAAAGATTTATGTGAACTCCACACTGGAGGAGCTTCTCAACAGTCAGAGTACAAATTTGTTTTATCGCGAACTTTATATTGGCAGTCAGTCCTGCATTCCATGAAGAGCCTTGTAACTAGCAGATCGCATGTGTTTAAAAACATTGTTGGGTTTTACTTAAAATGTGAAATGCTAATAACTTGGTTCTGTTTCGCTCTGATTTACACAGTAGTACATGCTTTAAGGTTTCCTATACTAGCTCTTTAGATTTCTGCAGGATGCTCTGCAACGGTGATGGAAATTATTTTAAGCGTTTCAAAATGACCAAAGTTAACTGAATTACCCCCTAAATGTAGTACCTTTGAAATGGAAACACATGGCTCTGTTGTTCTTCCAATGGAGACTTTTGGACCTATTTTCTGCTTCATTCAGTTGCACAAGACTTTTCACAGAAGATAAATGGATCTTCCATATACAACTACTCTTTTATTTAGCAGACAAGAAAGCTTTTCAAAAAAAAATGTATTACAATATGCCATTCATTTTGGATGAGTTTATTTGCTCATTCACAACCACCATCACGTTTTAATAATTGGTGCCATCATTTTTTGCCAAGAGGAATGATTAGTCTGGAGTCTAATGTTATGGGAAATTTTGCACATGGCAAATGTATCCTGAATCTAATAATAGTTTGAGAGGACATTAAGGGTTTTAACACAGATGTGGTCACCAGATGTCCTCCAGCTCTTCTGGGGAATCAGCACAAGCAGCCACATGATGGATTTAGGTCAAAGGAAGAGAGTCCCTCAATCTTTCAAAACATTGAAATAGGCTTCTTAGGGAAGGCTAAATCTCCCTGCCTCGAGTTTTCTTTTCTTCTTTTTAAAGTGTGTGGAGGCTTACATATTTGGAATAGATTAATCACAGTTCTGCCTGAGGGTAAACAGTAGAGATTCCATAAGAAGACTTCCAGCTTTCATGTGTTATGATAATGGACACATGGTATTGGGCTGAGGGTATCTTCAGGATGTTTTTGACGAGTTACCTCACACTCCGCCATAGCCCCTCGCACACCTTGCTTTCCATGGCCCTTCTGACAAGCTTGTAAACATAGACTAAGGGGAACGTGGACCCTCTCAGCTGTTTAGAAGGCACTGTAGTGAGCAAGTTGTTGCCACTCAAGACAACTGCTGCCAGCTAGATTTGGTTGGTACGGCATAGGATCTCACACATAATAGACTGCAATTCCCCTATTTTAGCAGAACTGTTCTGATGAGAGCTTACGATCTAATGTTGGAGAGGGCATATAAACTAGCTATAATCCATTAACAACTAGTTGTTGAAGAATATGCTGAAGATGTGAAGCCACACAGGCTTTGACTTATCAGTGTAACTTCAAAATAAACACAGTGCTTGATTAGTGTTAAGATTAGCCTCTTAAAGTAATTGCTGTAGTGACGGTGGCATCATGAAGATACAGCCTAGTGTTAATAACTTTTTAAAGAAATCACCCATAAAATAATGACTTTGTGGAGCAGATATATTGCATCTCAATGACCTCAGGCTGAGACTGTGTCTCATGGGCCTCCCTGGTCCAAAGGCTCCCCCCATGCCGTGGGGAGAGGGGACTTTGGAAGCTAACAGGCAAGGCAGGGAGACATAATATTTCCTTTAATCCTTCATCAGAGCAAAACACCAATATATGCATTGTGTGAGAAACCGGGATTTGGGACCAACCATGGAAATTAACATGGAATTTACTCTGTGGAGGAAAATGTAGAAGTTTTAGCGACACCTGGCTTTGAGTCTTATTGACTCACACTTTTATATTTTGGGGGGTTTGTTTTTTGTAAATTATCGGTAGAAACAATAGCCATTGGGAAAGCTCTGTAAATTTCCAAGCATCCTATTCTATGAATGTATTCAGTTTACAGAGGATTTGTGGCATAGTATAATACTTTCCCTAAACCAAGAAGTTGAGGCCACAAATACAGGAAGGGGACCCAAAATAGCGAGTGGCCTGCTTTACTATCTTTATCCAAGGGTCTTCAAAATCCATCACAATGGAGCTAAATCCAAGACTCTCAGTGACTCTTTAAAAGCTGCCATGTCCCATTTCAGCTGGAGGTCAAAGCAGAGTTCAAGATATAAGATTAAAAAAAAAAAAAAAGTCTTCTCTCTGAGGGCATGTCTTCAGTGTGCACCTTTCTCTGCTCATCTCCTTCCAGGAACAGTAAATCACCTCCTTCTTGAGATACCTAATGATGGCAGTCTAGAAAATTTCCCAAATCATCTACTCGGGACACATATGCCTTCAAAGAGGGGTGACCAAAGGGGTGCTAGCTCCATCTACCAACAATTACTTGGAGTGAATTCATTCAAATTACAATCTTACCAAATTTCAAGTCCTTAGTTTGGGTATTAAACCTCTTCAATTTTACACATTTCACCAGATATCCTCACAGACTTGTAACTCCACTGCTTCACTACTTTCGTGTAGCAGTGTAAGAAACATTTAGCATTAAGAGCAACCAACTCTGGCTCCATGCTGCCTGCATTTTATTCTGGATTCTCCTACTAGTTGTGTGACCTTGGGCAAATTACCGAACTTTTTTTTTTTTAAGATTTTATTTATTTATTTGACAGAGAGACACAGCGAGGGAGGGAACACAAGCAGGGGGAGAGGGAGAGGGAGAAGCAGGCTTCCCGCTGAGCAGGGATCCCAAGACCCTGGGATCATGACCCCAGCCGAAGGCAGACACTTAACGACTGAGCCACGGAGGCGCCCCAAATTACCGAACTTCTTTATGCTTCAGTTCTCTCATCTGTGAAATAGGGTAAGAAGCTTGTCCTGAGGATTAAACGACTTGATAGAAATAAAGCACTTAGAAGGGTGACTGGCAGGCACATAGGTAAATACTGGAAACGTGCGCATTTGTAATTGTTGAGCACCTACCATTCCCAAGGCATCAGCTAGTCACTCTACACCCGTATCTAAACAAACTTCTGTCTTGGTATTAAGGAATAATTTGGGTGGACTAATTCTTGTTTAACTGGGAAATGGCCCACACACAAATACTAATCTTAGACTTTGAGCCACATACAGATGAGTTGTTTTCTGGGTTTACCACTTCACTATTTCAATAAAATAGCACCTAATGTGCCAGACACTGGGATTTGATGAGGAAATAGAAACTCGGGCCTTTGCTCTCCAGGAGCTCTTAAGGCCGAACTAGTGTTTACATCTGTAATAAAGCACGTAAAAACTGATTCAAGGAGCTATTTAAGGAGAATAAAGCAATGTGTTTGGCGGGACTATATCCTGTAGATGCAGTTTCCTCCCATAGGGTAAATTCTCTAATTAGGTGGCTTCACTACGTCACGATTGCTGATTCCCACTGGGTCGCTGAAGAATTTCCTATTGAAGACGAAGTGAGAGGTCAGGTGACTGACACCAGTAGCGCGACGACGGAGCGCACAGCGCCCTGGAGGCAGGGGTGTGCCCCAGTACAGGCACGTGACAGCAGGGAGCACCCGAGGTTTGCAACCGCCCTACTGACTCTTGACAAACCACTTCACTACCACGGGCCCGTTTTCGCTTTCGCGAAACTGATGGCCTGTTCGAAACCCTCCCAGTTACATTACTTGAATCTTACACGCCCGAACCCATCTCCGGATCTGTCTCCGGTGACCCCGCGCTCGGTAATCTAGGGCAGTCTTTCACTTCTAGAGTCTGTTTGCTCACCTGCAAAACGGAGGCAGTGCTCCTTAAGTCACAGGAACTATAAGAATATTTATGAAATCTTTTATTCAACATTAAATTAAAAGAGAGAGCCCGCAGGAACCGCCCTTCGCACTTCCTGTCGGAGGACTTCCGCCTGCCAGCTGGACAGCACTCCTCCCTGCGTCACCTTTCCTTTAAAGACGCGGGCTCCGCCCACTACGGCAGGCGAAGGGGGCTGCCCGCGGGGGCCGTTCCCTGGCTTCTTCCGCCAGACCTTACCAATCGCCGACCCGGCAAAGGTAAAGCTAAAGGCGAGGGGCGCCGTGCCAGTGAGGGGGGTCCTAGGGCGGGAGGACGTGGGCTTAGGCACAGGCCTACGGAGGAAGCGGCTTCACCTCGGCTGTGTCCCTAGAAGGTCAGTGCCGCCCCTGCCGCCGGACGGAGCGCAGAGAGGCACCACAGACCCTGCCACGGGTTCGGGGATTCGGCCGGTCTGTAGCCGTTTTTGGGCCCGGAACGCTGCCCATGCATCCGGGAACCGTAGGACCTAGACCCGGCGCCGGCCCTTCGGTCCCCTGGACATTCCGCCCCGCCATCGCGGCGCACGTACAGGCATGCGTGCACGCTCGCCGTACGTCCCCACGCCCCCTCTCTGGCCGAGGCGTGCCGGGGGAACTCTTTCCCGGTGTGGGCGTGGCCGCGGCTGACACACGTGACCGGCCTGTTCCCCGCAGCCGCCGCGGCGGGAGGAGTAGCGGGGAAGGTTGCTAAGTGATTGCGGGATTTCTGTTTTTCCCTGCTTATCGTTTAATAGGCTCCGTGGCATAAGACTATCGAAAGAAGTAAATAAACTTTATTACTGAAAACTCGCAATTGCACATTCGTGTAGTGAAAAGCTTCAGTCTAAGATTAGAGTACAGAGAGTGGAGGGGCGTTTGAAGTCAGCGACTGCTTACTGTGCCAGGGACGGGACAGATAAATCAGATTAGTTCCCAGCTTCAGAGAACTTACTGTCTAGTGAAGGAGAGGAATAGCGATAAGATAATCACAAAATTGTAATTGTGATGAGTGCTAAAGGGAAAGATAAACTACTACGGGAGCATTTACTGTTGAGCATTAATGCTGAGCTCAACAGATGAGGGAGCAGGGGGATTGGGGGCTTAGTTTGCAAGGTAGTCAGAAGAATGCCCGGAGAAAGGGAGCACTAGGCAACAGTCTGGCGTTTCCTAAACCTAAGGGAAGAGCATTTCAAGAATCTGGACGGCCAGTGTGGTTTAGGCAAATAGGAAGTTTGGTATAGACCGAGGCTGGAGAGGTGGCGCGAGCCTCTAGGCTTCATGAAAGATGTTGGCCTGGAATCTGGGCAGTTTTATGGTGGGGAGGGCGGGGCTGTGTGGTGACAGTAACGCAGAGACAACGGATTGCAGTGTTCCAATTGGTAAATCCTAGTTAGGAGACTGGTGGGAATACACACGAGATGGAAGATGTCTTAAACTAAGGTGGTGGCGATGGGTATGGAGAGAAGTGGTTGGATTTGAGTGGAATTAGGAAGTAAAATTTATGAGACTTGGTGTTGGGTTAGCTAGGAGGATGAGGGAGAGCAGAGACGCTAAAGACGGTGCTCTGGATGAACTGTGATGCCGGGCAGTGAGATAGGAAGTTCTGGAAGAGCAAGTGACCATGTGGAAGATTCATGTACACGAATAAGTCCATCGTTAATACTGAGTATGTAGCTCTGGATTTAAAAGCTTTAAAAAAAAAAGCATTTCCTGGATGGTCATTAAGCTATTTCAGTAAAATAACTAAAATATAAGTTAAAAATTTTGTAGGTAAAGAAATATGGTTAAGGAATTGGCCTCAGATACATGTTGGTTTTTTCCAGTATTGTAAATTGGTGTTACAGCTCTTAAAAAGCCAACCTGAGTATGGAGAGTACTTTGTACCCCTTATGTGCCCCTTATGGAAGAGCAAAACCAGAGCCAAGGCAGAGCACCATGAAGGCTCAGTGACCATGGTTCAGTCCTCTGGTATTAAGGCTGCAGAGCCCACTGGAACAGAGCAGATGGACTGTTGGCGGGTCTGCAGGCAAAAGCAAGGACTTTGTGAAACTCCTTTGAAAGGTGCGAGAGAGGATTCTTAAAGTCATAGGAATTGGCAAAATTATTTTCAGAAATATTTAGTCCACTAGAATCTATGTAGCTTTGATCCAGCCTCCCTGGAAATAACAAATACCAGTAAGTATGAGCTTGTGAATATCAGCTATATAGGAAAGAAGAGCGGTGAGCATGCAAGCAGTTTAATCCCTCATAACCACATATTTAAATCATATTCCTAGAACTTTCAGTACAAATACATTATCAGTACCTCCTGAAGAGGTACATGGTAATGCAAAATAATGTATCATAAGGGGAATGCAGCCGTCTTTGGGGGCAGTAATCATTTGATCACTTTTTTTTTCTTGTACAAAAATGTTCATAGCAACTTGATTCAAAACAGCCCCAAAGTAGGAACATTCTAAATGTTCATCAGCAGAAAACCGGGTTTAAAATTTGTAGTGTATTCATATACTGGGACAATTCTCAGAAATAGAAAGGAACAAACTAATGACACATGCAACAACACAGATGAATCTCAAAAACATGCTGAGATGCCTTACAACAAAGAGTACATACTGCTTAATTACATTTATATGAAATCTGAGAACAGACTATGATGGAAAAATATCAGAACAGTTGTTGCCTCTGGGTGGGGTTGGAGACTAACTTGGAAGAGGCATGAGGGAACTTTCTGGGGTGATGGTAATATTCTACATGTTGACAGTTTTGGTTACAGAGGTGTTTGTACTTGTCAAAACTAATTAAAAGATGTGTTTAAGATTTGTATTTTTTTTTTTTTTTAGATTTTCTTTATTTGAGAGAGAAAGAAAGCAAGAGACAGAACACAAGCCAGGGGGAGGGGCAGCGGGAGAGGGAGACGCAGACTTCCCGATGAGCAGGGAGCCTGACATGGGACTTGATTCCAAGACCCTGGGATCATGACCTGAACCAAAGGCAGGCGCATAACCCACTGAGCCACCCTGGTGCCCCTGTACATTTCATTATATGTAAATTTTGCCTCAAAATGGAAAGAATCGTTAACAAATATTGAACCCTAGTTAATGGAATGCATGCTGCAGTATTTGAGGTTGAAGGACTCGAGGATGCCAATGTCTGCTACTACTTTGAAATACATCAAAACATAAATGAAATGGATAGAAAGAGGAATAAGTAGATGGATAAATAAAACAAAGATAGCAACATGTAGAATCTAGATGAAGGGGTATTGGGGTGTTCACTGTATCATTTTCTGTATATTTAAACATTTCCATAATAAAAGTGGGGAGAAATAGTCCTCAAAGAATATTGTTCATTTTAAACAACTGCAGACTTAATGTGAAAGTATAAAGACACAACCCTAAGCTCTCCTGAAATACACAGCGTATGGAAGTAACCATATATTTATTTCATAATTTCCCACTTTATGGCTTACTGTTTAAAATCCTTTCAATTTCTTATGAAATATGTGGATCAGACATTAAAATTATTCTGTGTTGTGTGCATTTGGAATAATGCAATTGTCATTTTTCTTACATGGTCCCAGGCAAGTTAGTGATGGTGTTGAAGAGGTCCAAGCAGAGGAGTGAGGACTGAAATTAGTGGGAAATGCCAAGACAGAAGAGTGAAGGGGCTTTGAGGGCATTTGTCAGTTTATCCTCCAGTGCTTGCAGGATATGGAGTTTTTCAGTGATCCAATCTCACGTAAATAAGGGAAATTACATGTTTTCTCCTTACAATGTGGAGTCAGTTGCAGAATTTAAACTCCCAACAGATGCAGATAGCTGCAGCACAGGATGATCTCAATCAGGTCTGAGTTACCGTGAAACCAGACATGGCTATCTCTTACTGTACGATTGTGTACTTTAAGTAAATGATTTTAAGATAATTGGCTTTTCAAATAGTTCTGGATGTCTCAGAAGGGACAGCTGTGGAAGTAAGTGACTAAAGGTACCCATATTGTCCTAAGAACATGAGAACCTATTTCGATTTAGACTGCTGTTTCATTTGGCCTACTATTTGTTTGACAGAGATATCAAAGACATTTAATTGGAGAAATTTCATGAAAGAGCAAGGCTTTCTATTTTGCACACACCTGGAAAGCTTTCTTAACCTTTTCTTAACCTTTGCTCTTGTACTCCCAGACAGCCTAGCTTAAAGCACTTGAACCCACTAATGTTATAATGTTTTATCATGTATTTTCTTATGTCTTCTTTTTTGAGGGGGTCTTGACCCAGTGGTTCTTAACAAGAGAGGAACAGGGAAACATCTTGTGTTTGAAAAAGATGATGCTGATAGGCCTCCAGTTTCTGAGAACCGCTACTCCAAAACATGCTCACTTTTAACTACTAGTTAGGCAAACCTTGCACGAGTTCTACTTCGAATTGAAACCATCTTCATTAATGAAGGTGAGACACTTATAGACTGCTCTGATGAAAACTAGATGGAGAATAAAGGTGATTTGCATTACCAAACAATTCAGACTTTGAAATCTGTAGAGTTCCCTAGACATAGGCTTCATTTAGATATAGCCTTGAAACTAATGAAAGCTAACATTTTTTGAAGATCTGTAAAGCCAGAATGCCAATTTATTATATTATAGTGATGTCTATAACTTACACAGATTGGAACAGTCCTACTGGCACGAGTAGGGAACTTTTTCCTTCCTGTGTGCAGCTGGCTTCTCTTTTAACTTTTTAATTATGAACAAAATTAAACATACAGAACAGTTGTAAGGCTCAATAACCAAACATCCGTGTAACCATAACGTAGATTCAGCAGATGTCGCCATGCTGCACACGTATTTTCGGCCAAACCCTGTCTGAGCAAGTGGCAGTTGTCATGGTCCTCTACCCTAAATACTTCAGAGTCCCCTCCCAATGATGGCATTTTCCCACGTAAGACAATTCGCAGTATTTCTCAGAAAGCACCCGCTCCGTCAGGAATCTCGTCGTTATTCAGCTTGTCCCCTGTATCTCAACATCTTTGTAGTTGCTTTTTTCAAACACGTTGCATTTTATGTCTCCTCTGTCTTTTTATGCAAAGAATAAACCCCTTCTCTTTTTATTCCTCCTAACACTTTTTTTGACATCAAGCCACTTGGCTTGTCTCACAGTCTGTATTTGTCAGATTGTTTCCTTGTGGTGGTGCCTGATTTGTTCCCGAGTCTGGCCCTTGAATTCCCCGGAGACTGGAAACCAGGTCTAGAGGCCGGACCAGGTTCTGGTTAAACCTTTTCTGGCAGGATTGTTTCACAGAAGGCACCGCACCCAGGCCATGGCACAGGAGGAGGTATGTGCTAGGATGTCGGGTTGTCCCATCGCTGGAATACTGAGTCTGACCTTAGGTTAAGGAGGGTGACAGCAAAAGTGTGTTTTTCCCATTTCAATTTGCAAGTCATCTTTGAGTCACCCTTTGGCACCATATGAATACCTTGTTTCCTCATTAGCTTTTTACCTAATGGTTTTTGCATCCACCCTTGCCTGGATCTGTGATTTGATTGAAGGTGGCAAAATGGTGATTTCTAAATTACTTTTCTTCTCCATTTATTAGCTGGCATTCTCCTCTAATGAAGAGCTTTTCTTCACCACCTGGGGATGATTGCTGATTACAGTTCTTCCTAAAAAGGTAGGATGAATGCTTAGTCCTTTTTCTTTACCAATTTTCACAGTAAGAAGTCTGGGTAATAGTCACATGCAGTTCTGGCAAATGATCTTTCTTTTTTATAGATTTTTGCATATTCCATGTGTTAAAACAACTTTCAGCCATTGTTCTTTAATGTTGAAATTACCTCACATTTGGCCAGTGGGAGTCTGTCCATGCTCCCAACCTGTGAATGAAATGTAAACAAGCAAAATCGTAATAACATGGGGGAAATCAGAAAACTAGATATTTGATAATATAAAGGAATGATTGTAACTTAGGGTAATGTTATTATGGTCATTAAAAAGACAAAACAGGCCTCACCTCTGAGAGATGACTTACTGAGGTATTTGCTGGCAAGATAGGATTTACCTTGAAATAGTTCATGGGCGGCTGGGGGTGTAGGAGAGTAGTTGAAGCAGAGAGGAGGCAGGTTTGGCTATGTGCTATTAAGAAGCTGCGTGATGGGTGCTTAGGGCTTTATTATACTATTCTTCCTATACATGTTTGAAACTTTTCCTAATAAAAAGCTTTTTAGAGGTGCCTGGGTGGCTCAGTTGGTTAAGCATCTGCCTTCGGCACAGGTCATGATCCCAGGGTCCTGGGATTGAGCCCCGCATCAGGCTCCCTGCTCAGCAGGGAATCTGCTTCTCCCTCTGCCTCTGCCCCTCTCCCCACGCCCCCCCATCCCGCTTTCACTCGCACACCCTCTCTCTCTCTAATAAATAAAATCTTTTTTTAAAAAGCTTTTTAATTATTACAATTTAAGTTGGTATTTGCAATTCAAATTTAGTAATCTCACAGCCTTTTTCTTAACATTGTATTTATATTTTATCTATGAAAAGCTTATTTTGAAGAAATATGTATATGTTCAGCCTTGCTGACATAAAGCCAAAATTTAGCTAGTATTGGAGCTTAATTGCTCTATAAGTCAAGAAAATTTAAAACTTTTGAAAATTTATTTTTATTTTTTTTAAGACTATTTATTTATTTGAGAGAGAGAGAGAGCACAAGCAGGGGGAGCAGCAGAGGGAGAGGGAGAAGCAGACTCCCCACCGAGCAGGGAGCCTGATGCAGGGCTCGATCCCAGACCCCTGAGATCATGACCTGAGTCAAAGGCAGACGCTTAACTGACTGAGCCACCCAGGTGCCCCAAAAAACTTTTTAAAATTTAAATAATGGTACAGAACTTAAAAATATAGTTACAGTATTTTTGTACTCTTTACTTTTTCCTGGCAAGTGTTTTTAAAGCTTTAAGAAAAAATTCTACATAATTTTTCTGAAATAGTCTTTATTTTATAAATAAACATATTTTATTTACTAGTATGAAAAATACTTCTTCCGTGTAAAAGATTGGGGAAAAAAATGATAATTAGGAAGGATAGGGGAAAAAAATCACTTGTGTCCTCGACTATAAACAACCAGGGTTTTCATAAATTTCTTTTCATCTTTTTCCTATGCCTAGTCTATTCATATGCTTACTTGTTTTTAAAAATCCTACATTTTGAAAAAAAAAATCCTACATTTTGAAATATTTTCTGTTTTAATGTGTTGAGGATTCACTACCCAGGACGCAGTCAGCTTTCATCCATTATTGTCAGTGCCATCCTAACTCATAGTGAAATTTGGTGCTGTGGCTATTTTTCTGATGATAAATGGAAAAAAGTCTTCTCTGGTCTCCTCAGGCTTTCTTGCTTTCTTGGTCTGGGGGCTTCCTCCACCAACAAATATCTGACTTCTTTTGTTAAACAGCATCTCCGCTATTAAAATCCAGTTTGCTCCGATTCCAGAGCCTTTACCACATCTGCAGCTGGAGTCCCAACCAGGTAGCAACTGTGAGTTCATCTCCTTCGCTGTGGGCGGAACATCTGGCCATAGATCTCACTAAGGTCAGTGGGCATTTGAAGGGCCAGCCAGAATGTGAAGAGCGTGGGTAACCAGTGTCTGTGTGTATTGCTAGGGAATGACGTATCTGAGGACCCAGGGGTCAGACACCAGCAGACGCTGCCTTCCCTCCAGCTGTTCCCCTTTGGCTCAAATGTTCACTCAGCATGTCTGTGCCGAGCCGGGCTCTGGGCTCTAGTGTTAGGAACACAGCAGAGAACAAAATGGACAATTACATTTTCTTGTGAAGCTTGCATTCTAGTGAGAAAGATTATGGACATGTGTGCAAATAACTATATAATATGTCCGGCACTGGATTTTTTCAAAGGCAAGCTAATGGATTTGAAAATGATGGGGTGTACAGTATTCTACAGAGTGGATGGGGAGGCCTCGCTGAGCAGTAACACTTGAGCCAAGGCCTAAGGTAAATGAACCACACAGCTGAGGGAAGGGAACTCCTGGGTAGAAGGATCCAGAGGAATACTGTTTGGTGTTTGTGAGGAACAGCCTGGAGTCCAGTGAGGTTGGAACAGAGCTGGAAGAGGCGGGGTAGGTGCGGTGGGCAGAGGTGGGCGGGGGCCACTGTGGGCCCCTTCACAGGCTTGGCTTTTCCCCGGAGCAAGATGAAAGCCAGTGGAGGGTTCTGAGCAGAGGAGGGACGTCATCTGCCATGTATATTTTAAAAGGATCACTGTGTGTGCCATGTAGGTGATAAATTATAGGGGGTAAGGGCAGAAGCAGGAGGGCCGTCAGGAGGCTGACTGTAAACCAGGTGAGAGAGGGTGATATTTTGGGAGCAGGGTGATAGCAACGGAGGTGAGGAGTGGTTGGATCCTGGCTGTTTTTAGAGGCTGAACAGCCAGATGCCCTGCTAAATTGTTAAGAGAAAAAGTGGAGTGGAGGATAACTTTGCTGCTTTGGGCCTGAGCCGCCGGGAGGGCGTGTGCTGTATGACCTGGCAGAGACTGAGGGAGGAGGCAGCATAGGGGGAAGACGGAGAGCCGGCAGGGGACATGTTCGCTCTGGGCGACATTAGCTGTCTGAGTGGACAGCGCGGGCTGGCAGTCAGCCCTACAAGTTAGGGATTCGGGGAAGAGGCTGGAGCAACAGATGTGGGTGTTGCCCAGCTGCGTGAGGACAGAAGTGAGAGTATGTGCGTCCCATTGCTTCCCGTTCAGTTTACTGTGTCTGTTTTGTTTTTTCCCTCTCACTGGTCACTAGAGGCCTAAGGCAGTGTGATGATGGGGCTAGGTCCAGGGTTTATGCAGCCCGGTGGCATCAAAGCTAGGGACCAGAGGGCATTTCTAGTTTTAGCAAACACTCCACGTGACTCTCCTGCAGGTGACCCAGGGACCATTCCTTGAGAAGCACTGCTGAAGGTCCCTCATCCCTTCCTCTTTGGTCATGGACAGGCCCACCTCCCTGAGTTCTTGTGTTGCTCACCCCAGATGACGAGTGGGTCCTCCCATCCCTCCTCCAGCCTGCACCTCTAGGCTTGGCCCAACATGTGCATGGAAGGAGAAAGACACTTATCGGGGGAGAGAAGCCAGTACAAAATCAGAATGCCATTTATAAGAACAGCGGTTATTCCCATGAAGTAAACCAGGATCACCATGTGTGCCTAACGCGTCATTAGCGTTTGCTTGTCATGCCGTACCTTGTGAGTCATCGTAGAGTTTCTGAGATCGGCACTCTGATTCACATCAGCGTAGTTCCTTTCTGAGAGTCTCAGTTAGTGCTCCCAGGGGTCAGCTTCCTTCGTGGGGAGTCCCCTTTCCCAGAATAGTGCTCTTGTCTTCTGTATACCAGCAGATGTATTGATAAATTGTTAGCAGTTGATTGTATTAAAAGCTTATGAATTGGTATTTATGAATCACTAAGGATTTTATATGCTGCATTCTCCTAAGTAAACCTTTAGGATGATCCTTGCTTTTGGAGTTGGCACTACAAGATCCTTGTGAAATAGAGTCAAATGAGATAGTATTGGGGGAAGAAATGATGGGAAACGACAGCACTGTGCTAATATGGTTTATTCTGACAGTAACTTGTGCTGGGGACAGTACCTCCGCGACTTAGTGTGACCACAGTCACCTGACAGTCCACGTCATTGGTGTAAATTCCCCAGGCATGGATCCATAACGTTCATAGATGACCTAGGCCTGCAGCCTCACACACGCCCTCTATGTACCACAGCATCAAAGCTCGGGGATGAACTGATTGAATCGTAACAAACCTTCTCCCTGCCTTTTAGGATGGCTGCTCTTCTTCTAAAGAGGCTAACATTACAGACCATAAAGACTGAAAATAATTGCATTAGCAGGTGTCTTGGTAAATACATCCTATCCAAGACCATACCAGCGCAGCTGTCCCTTGGAGCTTCTGTCCCAAGACTGTCCTACCTGGTTCATGCAAAAGCTTTCAGTACTGCTGCGGACACCCAGGACGAAAGAAAGAAGAAGAAGAAAAAGAGTGAGCCAGCTTTTAGCAACATCGGCAGAAAAATTCATGAGCGAGTCATTCACGTGCTGGATGAGGCAGGCAATGATTTGGGAAACATGCACCGAGCAGACGTGATCAGGCTCATGAATGAGCGGGACCTGAGGCTCGTTAAACGGGACAGCGGCGTGGAGCCTCCGCAGTACCAGCTCCTGACGGGGGCACAGATTCACAAGGAGCAGCTGAGACTTCGGGAACTGGAAAAGGCCCGCCCCAAACCAGGTAGGTGTCACGCTGTCTGCAAACCGAGTCCTCGGGACCACAGACCAGCAGTTGAAAGCGGCATCTGCCAAGGTGCTCATGACCGTGGGGATGTAAAAAAACAGGGACATTCACGGTCTCACCACCAGTGCCCACATCTTTCTTCAGCTCTCCCTTATTTCCATTCCTCTTCTTTTTCCCTTGATGCCCTGTGGTCAGCATTCTTTTCCTTTAAGCCTGTGTAAAAGGAGGGGAAAATAAGGTAAACACCCCAAAGTGATGGAACCTCTTTTCCCTTGGTCCTTAGCTCTGTCTCTGATCTGGAGGTGGCAGAGCCACTGGCGGCGGGCCTTGGAGTGCCCGTTCCAGGGCTGGGCCACCCTTTCCCCCACGTCTCTGAAGTGGAGGTGCTTGGCTAATTGCTTGGAAGCACTTTCCAATCTCCGAGGTGATTCACAGAGCACGTCTCACACCCCAGTGTCTTGTTACAGTATTGGTAAGGAATGCCCATGTACACATTTTGCCGGTCACCTTACAATGCCCTTGTCATTGATGCCTTCATGGAACCATGAATTGGATAGTAAGTGAAGATTTTTCATGATTCCCACTAAGTGCTGATCGTTAGGAAAGATTGTTTTCTGTTAAACAGCCTGGGACAGGGACCAGGAGACTGGTCCCAAAGCTGCCACAGTGAGATTGTATGTCTTAAGAAAATCACACACTATCTGTGGCTCACTTTTGTAACAGCACATTCAACAAGGATGTTGACTAGAAAACAAAGTTTTCAGAGGCCAACTAGGATGATACAGACTTCAAACTGTATCACAGAAAAATAGTTAACAGCCCAGAGAAGCTTGGAGAAGACATGTTGCTGTTGTGATAGTTGAAAGGCTAAGGTGTTGAAGGCATTATTTTGTTCTGAGAGAGACCTAGGACCCGCTGCAGGGGCTTGAAGGAAGCAAGGAGGTATTGATAAAAGGACTTTTTTTAAAAGAAAAATTACTTTTATTTTGGGAATTAGAAAGCATACAGAAAAATAAACACCTGCTATCCACCATCCAGAATGAACAAACATGAACATTGTTGTGCTTCAGATTCGTAAACAAAATAAGACGTTACAGAGTTGTTGAGGTTGTCCGTGCTCCCTTCCCCTCTGCTGTCCTCCCTCCCCACTGTCATGGACTCGGGGTGTAGGTCCGTCTGTGTCGTTAAACTTCGGTTACATATAAACAGTATATAGCAGGATTTTATACACACAAAAATGATGTCATGCTGTTTTCAAGAGCCATGTTTATAGAACAGCTGTAGCTAATTTATCATAATTCCTAAATAGAATCCTAAGAATATACCATATACCATGGCTCTAGTGCCTTTGCATGGACATCGGGCTCGTTTCCAGTCTCGTTATGAAGAACAAGGAGCCCGTCTGTCAGTGTCTCCAGAGTCTGTGGGGCAGATCATCAGCAGTGTATGTATGAAACTTCTCTTCCTACACCCCACCCCTACTTGGTACTCTCATCTCATTTTTGCCATGCTGATGGCTGAGAAAGCCTGTCTTACTATTTATTTCTACTTCCTTTCACCATTTGAGTTACCTCCTCTGTGACTTGCCTATATGTAGTCACTGTTTTTCTACTTTCATGGTCCTCCCCCGACCCCCGATTTATAGAGTTCTCTGTTCTGTGTGATGCAAAAACCTTGTCTCAGATTTTTTTTTTTTTGCCCTTTTTTAATTACCCAGTAGTGTTCTGATAGAGGAAATTACCAGTTTTTTCCTTAACAAAATCCTTCTTCTATCCTGAGGTCACAAACATCTACTTTCTTTTCTTCAGTTTTAAAGTTGTATTTTTTTTCACATTTAGTCAGTCCTCCTGGGGAGATTGTTGTATGGGTTGAGACCTAATTTTTCCCCCATATGAAAACTCTGAATTGTCCCAACGCTTTTCCTAAATAGTCTGTTCCTTCCCTGTAAAATAATTTTGAATAGTCAGGGTTTCCATTTTCGGAATACAGGACATAGGGAGCTCCCTCCTGTCTGATGCAATCTGGATGACCCCACTGTCACTAGGAGGCCATCACAAAAGGAGTCAGATGAAAAGAGTACTTCCCAGATGCTGCTCTCATCAGAAGGAAAAATAAGGATAGTCAAGTTTACTCGTTCCTTTTAAAGGACCGTTTTTTCTTTCATCAAATGAGGGTAATAATAATGGAAGCATTTCATACATTACAGAATATCTATTTTGCTTTTAAAGTCTGAGACCTAAATACTCTTACTTGGCAGGTAAAAAATCAGTACCTTTAAGTTTGTCCATCTCCCTTGTGTCCTTGTTTAAAAAAAACATTTGAAACTAAGAAAGGAGTGTTGGGCCCCTGTGCCAACCTGATCTCTCAGGAAGAGTGTGACACAGCTCAGGTGTCGTGAAGAGACCAGTAAACAGTCCTAGCACCAAGTCTGTTTCAAACTAGGACCTACCCTGACAAAGGAACTCACTTTTTCTTCAACTATTGGACAACATGATTTGGACACAAAGAATAAACAGATTCAGCAGTGGATTGAGAAAAAATACAAAGTTCAAATTACCATAAAAAAAGGGAAGAACACAGAGGAGCCAGAACATAAGATGGTGAGTACAAGCAGGTATGAGGAACTGCTCGTGGTTTTTGTTTTCTGATCTAAAGATACAATTGTAGAAAATCTGGATACTTAGCAGAGGCAGAGACAAGTAAACTGCTAATTCTACCCAGTGATGACAGTAGCTTTCCAATTCTGTTTTTCAAAATGTAAGCATACTCTGTGTACATCACTTTTTCCATTGAAGCATAATTAAGTATTTTGTCACCTGAAAACATTGCACTTCATAATTTCAGGGCTATATACTTTTCTTTTTTGCAAATTGCATAATAATATCATTTAAAAACAGATTCATTTTTGGGGTGCCTGGGTAGCTCAGTTGTTAAGCGTCTGCCTTCGGCTCAGGTCATGATCCCAGGGCCCTGGGATCGAGCCCCGCGTTGGGCTCCCTGCTCAACGGGAAGCCTGCTTCTCCCTCTCCCACTCCCGCTGCTTGTGTTCCTGCTCTCGCTGTCTCTGTCAAATAAATAAAATCTTTAAAAAAAAAAAAAAAAGATTCATTTTTAAAAGTCTGTCTCCTGTTTAATAATGCCCCTGAGAAGTATTACATATAAAGTCAAATTGTCTTTCTGGAAAGTACCAGTTTACACTCCCAGGATAAGTTTACAGAATATCTGTTTTGCTCTCAGAGTCCAAGACCTTAGCAGCTAAAAGGCAGCCTTAGTCTGGTGGTTTTCACCCTCATTCCAGGTTAGAATCGTGAGGCCTAGGTTTCAGCCCAGCATCTCTAGAACTGGGTGTCTGTATTTTTCTAATCACCCCAGTGACTCTGTGTTAGTAATGTTAGGAACTGCAGTTTGGGGGATAAAGAGGTCCCCTGCCAATGCCCAAACCCACTGCTTTGTACCTCTTTTTTCTGAGATGGTAGCTGGAGCCAAACGTAGTCTCTCAATGTCATGCCAGAGTGGGAATTTAAACTATCAACCTTTAGTGCATGAGTTACATGGCATTTGTAAAACTGCCTGGTTGTTGTACAGGTTTCACTCAGCTTAACCGGAGAAGCATAATTTGATTTACGTAGTCACTTAAATAACAGCAAGTCAGGAACGCTGATTTTTATGTGTTTTAGAGCACTAACACTAGAAAGCATCAAAGACATTGGTTTTAAATTCATCTTTGGCTGTTTTCCCTTTCTAGGAGGAGATCTGTAATCAAATACTCCAGACTATGCCTGGAATAGCTACCTTCTCATCCCGGCCACAGCCTGTTCGGGGAGGAAAAGCTGTAATGTGTGTTCTTCGTCATTTGAGCAAAAAGGAAGAGAATGTGTATAGAGGAACTCAAGGAACCCAGAAAGGAGACACTCTGAACAAAGAAAACAGAACCAATCAAGAATCAGATGTTGTGCATCAGTGATTTTAATAAAGAAAAGTGTGCTTCTTAGCGGAAATAATTGAGCTGAATGCTGTGGTCTCGTTTAGACAAAGTGGGAGGGTTGGTTGAGGGCAAGGAGCGCAACAGTCGAGAGCACCTTGTCTTCGGTACAGTTCGGTGTCTGTCCGGTTTCAGGCGCAGATAAGCCTTGTCCTTGCTTCCTTTTAGGAGGAATATAGCCACTGAGACGAGAGGCCAAACTCCGTTTTTCACGAGATGGTTTTACCTTTGGAAATAAAAGATAATGGGAATTCAGAAACTGGTCTTCTAATAGCTGTACCCCCCACCGGGCACACAACACTCCTTTGGAAGAAAGTGAAGGCCACGCCGTCCCTTCCATAGCAGTGTGGGCTCACATGGTACTAAGGAGCTGAAGACATTCTAGACTGCATCTGGCTGACGTAGTTGATGTTTCAAATTAACAGCTTGCCTAACTCAACTTACTTTGAGCTTCATTTTCTTCTTGTCAGGGTCATGCACAATGGCATGCCTAGTGAGACTTTGCTACAATGAAGGAAAAAGAAAAACAGTTACATCTTTAAAACACTGCCATTTTGGTATCTCTTAATATGAAAACTCCATGAGTTATTTAAATAAACTCAACCTTCTTTCTGTTACATACCATTGAAGGATATGACCTCTGCTTACAAAGATTCTCCCACCAGAGCAGAATTCTTCCTCAAATCCTAGACCTAATCACTACCTTTCCCAAAGACCCAGGTTAGGAACTTACACAGTCTCAACCTCTGGTGGCTTCTTAGTTGTTTCATAAGTAAGAGGAGGGGAAACCAGTTCTGAATGAGCTATTCCAAGCTGAAGAAGGTTCTTTTGACTGAACCTATGTCAGCAGCATTCCCAAACCCCAGTGGAAAATTTGACCAAGGTCTTGCTGTCCTCGATAATGCTGACCACCATCAGCGCCCGGTTGTTTTCTAATGGTCTGGACGCACACTGCGCCTGCCTCAGTGTCTCTTCAGTCTCAGTTATAACTCATGGTTCGCACTTGTAAGAGCACCTGCCAGAGTGAGAGTCTGCAGAACCGCACAGGCCCGCCCCGTTCTTACCTATTCAAATCACACCAAGATCCAGACTAGATTCCCAAGTGCTGTGGTCCCTCATGCCCTTGCTGCCCACTTCTCTCAACCCGTAGAAGATGACAGTCTAAAAGGACACCCAAGTACCAGCATACTCTTACAGTTAATAAGCATGTGGTACCACAGGCACTGCTTCTCAAAGTTGGACACGGTCACCGAGAGGGTTTGTTAAAACACAAATTACTGAGCCCCATCTCTGGGAGTTTCTGATTCAGTGGGGGGGGGGGCTGTGGATATGCATTTCTAGCAAGTTCTCAGGTGATGCTGAGGCTCCTGGTCTGGGACCACGCTTAGAGAACCACTGGCATAGGCAAATCTGGTGGTTCTGCAGACTTAAGAACCGCTCCTGCTGGGGCGCCTGGGTGGCTCAGTTGGTTAAGCGACTGCCTTTGGCTCAGGTCATGATCCTGGAGTCCCGGGATCGAGTCCCATATCGGGCTCCCTGCTCAGCAGGGAGTCTGCTTCTCCCTCTGACCCTCTTCCCTCTCGTGCTATCTCTCAAATAAATGAATAAAATCTTTAAAAAAAAAACAAAAAACCGCTCCTGCTGAAGCCAGAGTGGAAGGGCTAGAGCACCCGGCTTTCCCCATCTGTAGGCCCTAGGGCACCATCTTGGAATCTAGGGCTCCCAAGAACCCAGCTGGGAAGCCACAGACCTAAAGGGCTGCATCTGTGAGCACGACTACTTACTTTCATTGCAAATGTTTTGCCACAGCCAGGATGTTCACAGGTAAATGGGCGCCTTTCCTCGTGAAAAGAGAGAATGTGGCTCTGGAGATTAAACACGGTTGTGTAGGTTCTATCACAGCCTTCTCTTGGACACCGGCATACATCCCTTTCTGGGGCGTGAGTTTTCATATGCTGCTTAAGGTAATCCTTGCGCTTAAATGTTTTCTGGCATACTTCACATTTTATGTCCTCTGGGGGAGTAGACAGACAAACTTAACCAATTTCCCCAGGTATCACCATACGGAAAAAAATAAATTTGAATATATAAGTAATGTATCTGATGCCGAAAATGTCATGATTATCATAAATCAGAAAACTAACTCCAGTTTTTATTGCTTAGAAGTTTGTCTCTCTCCCATGTTCTTATATTACAGAAAGTCACTCTGTTCCCTTACCAGGAAGCAGGGGTTCTCAGCATGGTGGCTGCGGGCAAGGGGAGATTAAAAAGACCAGTTTCCTTCCTTGTCCTCCAATACATAAAGCACTGTTTCCCAAACTGTCCCACAGAACACCCGTGCCTCCCAAGGTTCTTGACTTGCCAGAGCCTTTAAAACTACTAATTTAGGGGCGCCTGGGTGGCTCAGTCACTGGTTAAGCGTCTGCCTTCGGCTCAGGTCATGATCCCAGGGTCCTGGGATGGAGTCCCTCATGGGGTTCCCCGCCGAGCAGGAAGCCTCCTCCTTCCTCTCCCTCTGCCCCTCCCCTCCCCTACTCATGCAGTCGCTCTCTCTCAAATAACATCTTAGGAAAAAAAAAAAGACTAATCGTGCATAGCACCTCCCGGCATAGCTCCTCCCGAATCTGGGACCACAGCTCTGCTCATTGTCAAACAACTGAGGTAACCAACACGTGACAAAACATCACACAGAAAGGTTATTATTTTAAGGTACGTGTTTAATATTTCACTCTTTAAAAGCAGTTCTATAGCGACAAATATTTACACTGTGCCATACATGTCTACTTTACCTTTATGGGTTTCTCTCACATGTTTTAGAAGCTCTGTCCATGTTTTTGCCACAAAGGAACATTCTTTTTGACACATATAGCCTGTTTAGAAAAAAAATACACTGGTGCATTGCCTTTTGTGAATATGCGGTGTAAACACCAATTGTAATTACAAAGGAAACTTATAAGCCTATATAGTTTTTCTCCAGTCTCCTAATAATATTCTGTTAGTCTTTAGAGGTGGGAATAAAAACTAGGTTTGTTCTACAGGGAAACCAAATAATCGCGTAGCAAGGTATTCCACGTAGGGTTTTACGTCCGCAGACTTGACAGAAGCACGCTGTTCCCCGTACGTTGTGTGTACCGCCCACGGGCTCCCAGCTGCTGTGCTTCCCCGCCTCCGTGCCCCACATGCCCCACAGCCCCTTTGCTCTCCCTGCTTTATGCCTCCCTCTTGTTTTCCTCCGTGAAATAGCACTGTGGTCCTCTGTGCTTGGCCGACCACCAACACTAAGTCTCAGGGGTTGTGTGCCTACCCCTGGCCTCTAGTCTTACTATCTGGTAAGTTCCACAAACCAGGAAAAACTCAGGGTGAAAATAAGGGAGAAAATAAGAACCCAGGGGAAACGCTGCAGACAAAAATGGACATCGTGCGAGGCGCCAGGACTGGAAGAATCTGTCACTGTAACAGCCAACCTGTGTTTCACCAACTAAATAGCAGAGAGACACCGAAAGGAACGAGGCTACCTCCTACTCTTCAGCTACTAATCTCTTGTTAAAATAAAACAAAAACAAAAACATATATACTTAGAAAACTGGAAAACAGAATAAAAAATCCCTCACAGAAACAGAGAATGGATTCAAGTAATTTAATCAAGTCTTTTTGAAAAAGTTACAATCAGATTACTCCAAAACCTCAAACTATTATCCAAGCCCTGTGAATGCCAGTAAGGAGACTGAAGTCGCAGGTAGTAAAGAGGTAAATGGTGGTGAAAAGCCAACTGAGGCCAGAGCGCTAACACTCTCAGAAGCATAGAGTGCCACCAGGCCCTTGTGACAGACGGTGAAACACTCGCTTTGAACAGCAACGACAGGAGTGGAAGAGCAGACAAGGATGTGCAGTGCCTCTGGTCGGGTCTAAAACCTGAACTAGCAGCATGCCGCCCCTGCCTAGACAGCGTTGAGTTTCTCCACATGACCACGGTGTAGAAGAGAAAGCATCTTACAGTCAAAGAACTAGACACACACACACACACACACACACACACACACACACACACACACACACTACTGGGGTCTACTCGAAGCGGGGGGGCCCCCAGGGAGCACCCGACATACCCTTGTGGACCTTGCTGTGTCGCTTCAGCCTGCTGGGTGAGGTGAAATGTTTCCCACATCCTTCATGGGCACACCTGGGTTAACAACACGTCACGCATGAGCCAATCCATTTTTGTGGAGCATCTGCTGAGGGTGAATATTACTCTGTCCTTTTCTGCTACCAAAGTCTCTCCCCACAACCAAACCAATCATAAAGAGATTTAAAATTGAGATTGAGATTGAATCACAAGTGAAATTCAAGTTACTTGACCAGCCTTGAGACAAAACAAACGGAAAGAAAAGAGTCATGATGACTTTTTTTTTTTTTTGCATTGTGATCAAATTAAAACTTTCATCTTTATCCTTCTGAAAATGGACTGTTTTCCTGGCTACAACAAGATGGGGAGGTAAACCCTTGAGGCATTCTGAATGGTATCTACTGGGTTTAACGCTGCTGCCTGGAGACGGTGTGGAAGGAGAGCAGCGGCAGACGCATCGGCTCTGGTGAGCCATACAGAGGCACGGGCCGCTTCCTTGTGAAAGGCCCCAGCGGCACAAGAGGTGGCAGGCCTGCCAGCAAGGACACACACAGGCCCTGCAGTGAACCCAGGCAAGGCGCAACTCTGGGGGGCCAGGAAGGCACCGGGCAGGACGGCGGCACGCAGAGCGGCCAGCCAGTGCCCTCCAAGACGCCCCTCCGAGCAGGCGACTGGGGCTTTCTGACCCTCTCGGCAAGTCCACCCTCATGTGTCCAGTCACTGTTCCTGTCCCTCAGGATAGGCCGCTCTAATGCACACTAAGCCCCATGACTTCTGCTCTGTAGGAAAGGAATACTTCGTGTCTACATAATGACAGTTCACACAAATAAACGGGCTCTTTGGGGCGCCTGGGTGGCTCAGTCGGTTGAACGTCTGCCTTTGGCTCAGGTCATGATCCTGGGGGTCCTGGGATCAAGCCCCACATCAGGCTCCCCGTTCAGCAGGGAGCCTGCTTCTCCCTCTACCTGCCGCTCTCCCTGCTTGTGCACACTCTTTCTCTGACAAAATCTTTAATAAAAATAAACGGGCTGGGCGCCTGGGTGGCTCAGTTGGTTAAGCGACTGCCTTCGGCTCAGGTCATGATCCTGGAGTCCCAGGATTGAGTCCCGCATCGGGCTCCCTGCTCAGCGGGGAGTCTGCTTCTCCCTCTGACCCCCTTCCCTCTCGTGCTTTCTATCTCTCATTCTCTCTCTCTCAAATAAATAAATAAAATCTTAAAAAATAAAAAAAAAAAAAAATAAACGGGCTCTCACTGAATAAAGTCATTTCTTAGCTTTCCCTTCAAGCTTAACCACAATTGTACTAATCTCACAAATCATTTAGAAATACATTGACTATTTCTGTTAGAAAAGCAAAAGCAAACATTTGAAATGACCCACTATATAAATGGGCATTCACGGTATAGAAGAGTGTTGATTAAGATATGGTTTCTGGGGGTGTCCGGGTGGCTCAGTGGGTTAAGCATCTGCCTTCGGCTCAGGTCATGATCCCAGGGTCCTGGGACTGAGTTCCGCGTCGGGCTCCCTGCTCCGCGGGAAGCCTACTTCTCCCTCTCCCACTCCCCCTGCTTGTGTTCCCTCTCTCGCTGTCTCTCTCTTTCTCTGCCAAATAAATAAATAAAATCATTTAAAAAAATTTTTCCAAAGACAAATAGATAAATAAAATCTTTAAAAAAAAAAAAAAGATTCATTTTTAAAAGTCTGTCTCCTGTTTAATAATGCCCCTGAGAAGTATTACATATAAAGTCAAATTGTCTTTCTGGAAA